GTAGTTCCTAACGCTCCTTCTCTGTCTACCCTTTTCCGATCGGTTCTTGAGACATCCAATTTGAACGCACAGGATGTGTCAGTCGTTGAAGCACATGGCACTGGTACCCCAGTTGGTGACCCAGCGGAATACGCCGCGATCCGTCGCATCTTTGGCCAAGAGAAGGACAATGGAATCAAGAGGCCTGTCCCTCTGCAGCTGGGCTCAGTAAAGGGCCTGGTTGGCCACACCGAAGGTAGCTCGGGAGCAGTGAGTCTTGTCAAAGTGCTTTGCATGTTGCACGAGGCCACCATCCCACCTCAGGCTAGTCATACAGTTATGAACCCAGCAATCTGCGCAACCAAGAGCGATGGCATTCAAATTACCTTGCAGTCAAAGCCTTGGAATGCTGACTTCAAGGCTGCTCTCATCAACAACTATGGTGCAAGTGGAAGCAATGCTTCAATGGTTGTGACCCAAGCACCTAAGTTCAGATTGAAGACCACTGCAACTGGTCAAACTGCTCAGGACGATGCAGACCTCCGATATCCGTTCTGGTTCTCCGGTCTCGATGACAGGAGTATTCGCGCCTACACAGCCAAGCTCCAAGATTATCTCAAGCAGAGACCTAATACGTCCATTGCAGATCTCGCATTCAATATCTCTCGACAGTCCAACCGCACTCTTCCCCGAGCTCGAATCTTGAGCGCGCGATCGGTTCCAGATCTTGTTGGCAAGCTTACTGAGCTAGAAAGCGCAGCCACCGCTTCGATCGATGTTCCATCAGCCCGACCCGTCATCCTGTGCTTTGGCGGCCAGCTGTGCACCACTATCAACCTCGATCGTGCAGTATATGATGGCAATGTTCTTTTGCGCCAGCACATGGACCGCTGTAATGCCATCGCTATCTCGCTTGGTATTGAGAGCATCTACCCCGCTGTCTTCCAAGCCACGCCCATCGAAGACATTGTTCTTCTCCAGACTGCCTTGTTCGCTTTGCAGTACAGCACTGCTCAGTGCTGGCTTGAATGTGGTGTGAAGCCTGTTGCTGTAATCGGACACAGCTTTGGTGAGCTTACCGCTTTGTGCGCATCCGGTGTTCTCAGCCTCAAGGACGCACTGAAGCTGATCATTGGCCGAGCTACCCTTATTAGAGACAGCTGGGGCTCCGAGAAGGGTTCCATGGTTGTTGTCGAGGGAACTGAGGAGGAGGTGTTGAAGGTATTGGAAGATGTCGACCCGAGCCTCGACGCATCAATTGCTTGTTACAACGCCCCAAGATCACACACCATCGCCGGATCTGCAAGTAGCATCGACGCCGTCGTTACAGCAATCTCAGAGAAGCATGCAAAGCTGCGATTCAAGAAGTTGGGCGTTTCCAATGCGTTCCACTCGGCTTTGGTTGCACCACTTCGACCCCAGCTCCAGCAAATCGGCACCGAACTGACCTTCAACCCTGCTATCATTCCCGTTGAAAGGTCCATCGATACTTCAAAGACATCTCCAGAGTTCGATGCCGACTTTGTCGCCGATCACCTACGAAACCCTGTGTACTTCTCACATGCCACGCATCGCCTTGCAAAGAAGTACCCATCCGCCATTTGGCTCGAGGCTGGCTCAAACGCTACAATCACATCCATGGCAAGCAAAGCGCTCGACATGCCCCCAGCTCATCACTTCCAGGCAGTGAACCTATCTGGCACGCAGGGAGTTCAACGACTGACAGATGCCACCCTTGCACTTTGGAAAGCTGGCCTCCCCATTACATACTGGGGTCACTCGAGAGCACAGACGGAACACTATGCTGCCCTTCTCTTACCACCATACCAGTTTGAGAAGAAGAAGCACTGGCTTGAGCTCAAGGCACCGCCGAAGCTTGCAGTTGCTGTCGTGGAAGACAAGGAAGAGTTGCCGACAAAGTTGTACAGCTTCGTTGGTTACCAAGACACCAAGCAGTGTTTGGCTAAATTCCGCATTAACACTATGATTTCTCTATACGAGGAAATCGTTGCAGGTCATACGATTGCTGGCGTGGCACCAATCTGCCCTGCCACCGTGCAGATAGACATTGTCATCGAAGCAGTCAAGAGTCTGTCCAAGCATCTCTCAGCTGATGGCGTCCAGCCGCAGATTCGCAGCATGACCAATATTGTTCCTGTCTGCGTTGACAAATCGCGCACCGTATGGCTCGATGTTGAAGCTCTGGACGCTAGCCGCACCAGCTGGAGCTGGAAGTGGACTTCTACTGGCCCGTCTGGTGGATTGCCTACGACCCACGTTTCTGGTGAAGTACAGTTTCGCAGTGGAAGCGACATTCATTACCAGTCCGAGTTCTGCCGGTATGAGCGTCTTGTCAGTCATCGCCGATGCATGCGGATCCTGCACTCTGAGAACCCCGACGAAGTCCTTCAAGGTCAGAGGACCATCTATCGTGTCTTCTCCCCCATTGTTAACTACTCGCCCTTGTACTTTGGCCTGCAAAAGCTTGTCGGATTGGGCAATGAATCTGCTGGTCGCGTTGTCAAGAAGCATTCAGGTGAAAGCTGGCTCGATTCTTTCCTCTCCGATGCTTTCTGTCAAGTAGCTGGCATCTGGGTTAACTGCATGGCTGAAGAGAACGACAAGGACATGTGGATTGCCAATGGCATCGAACAGTGGGTTCGTGCACCTACAATGACGGAGGCGCAAACCCGATCCATTGAAAAGTGGCACGTCTTCGGACAGCACTCACGCTCTGCAGACGGGCTTTCGATTCTATCCGATGTCTTCATCTTTGATGCTGCAACAGGAAGCCTCACTGAGGCTATCTTGGGCATTCAGTACGCCAAGGTCTCCCGAGTATCAATGGGACGACTACTCTCTCGATTGACACGCGAAGAAGCCAGAGCGGTGCAGTCACCAGCCCTCAAGAGCGTTGCTCCAGTCCTTATGACATCAGCTGATATTCCTACTCCTCCTACGCCCACGGCCGCAAGGACTGAAATCCCTCAACCGCCCACCCAGGCCACAAAGAGCGCCGCCAATGATATTATCCAGAGACTCAAGGCAATCTTGGCTGACATCTCTGGTCTCGAAATTGATGAGATCAAGAGCAATGTTGAGCTTGCAGACATTGGTGTCGATTCGCTCATGGGCATGGAGATGGCAAGGGAAATTGAGGGCGAGTTCAAGTGTACCCTGTCACAGGATGAACTTGTTCACGTCACCAACTTCCCGGAATTGCTTCATTGTCTCGAGTCTTCGCTCGGCATATCATCCAGCAGTGGTGATTCGTCTTCGTCGTCATCTTCCTCAGCCGACGAACAAGAAAGCACTGGAGGGTCTATTACGCCCTTGTCAGTCATCGAAGATGGCACTGGTTTCCCATTTGACTTTGAAATGCCTCAGTCCGCAGCTATCAAGGCCTTCAGCGAGGCGAAGATGGAAACTGACCAGCTCATGGAGAAGTTTGGTGCCCCTGGCTATCTTCAAACTATCGCACCCCAGCAAGACCAGCTTTGCGTAGCTCTAGTTGTTGAGGCATTCTCAAACCTAGACTGCGATCTCAGTGTGGCCAAGGCAGGCGAGGAGCTGCCATTCATCCCACACGCCAGTGACCAGAAGAAGTTCGCACAATACCTTTACACAGTTCTCGAAACCGCCCGCCTCGTGGACCTCGACAACGACAAGATCACTCGCACCAACGTACCAGTTCCCACAAGAGAAAGTAGCGACCTTCTTCGCGAGCTGCTCGACAAGTACCCGGAGCATGCATGCTGCAACGAGCTTGCATATTGGACGGGCTCCCATCTGGCAGGCATTCTCACGGGCAAAGAAGATGGTATCAAGCTCATCTTCGGTACCGAGCGTGGTCGTGAGCTAGTCGGAGCTGTCTATGCTGACTTCCCTCTAAACAAGCTCTACTATGCTCAGATGGGTGATTTCCTTCGTCGTCTTGCGACATCACCTTCTCGCCGCCCCGAACATGGTCCTCTTAAGATCCTTGAGATGGGAGCCGGTACTGGCGCCACGACCAACAGCTTAGTGCCGCTGCTTGCCACCTTGGGCGTCAGCATTGAGTACACTTTCACTGACTTGGCGCCTAGCTTCGTCGCTGCGGCGAGGAAGAAGTACAAGCAGTACCCCTTCATGAAATTCAGGGTCCACGACATTGAGAAGGAGCCTGCGGCCGATCTGTTGCAAAGCCAGCACGTCGTCATCGCCAGCAACGCAGTTCACGCCACACGCAGTCTTCCAGTATCCACAGCCAACATCCGTAAGATGCTCCGGCCGGACGGTGTGTTGATGCTGCTGGAGATGACCGAGCCCATGTACTGGTGCGACATTGTCTTTGGTGTTTTCGAGGGCTGGTGGCTCTTTGAGGATGGCAGGCAGCATGCTGTCGCCCCTCCTCAGACATGGGAGAATGTCCTCCACAGTGTCGGTTACGGACACGTTGACTGGAGCGATGGCAATGTCGAAGAGGTCAGATGCGAGAGGGTCATCATTGCCACAGCAGGTGGCAAGCAACTCGAGCGTTTGACTGTCCCTTCAAAGCCTGTTCAGCAAGAGGTGTGTACAATCCTGATCTCTATTGATTGACTGTCTAACTGAACTAGTAGGAATTTCGCCACGATGAAAGGAGGGCGGCGACCGACAAACTCATCGAATCGATGACCACGGGATTCGCACTGCCTGTGCAAGTAGAGCCAACTGCCGACGATACTGGTCGGACTGGGCAATGTGTTCTCATCACTGGCGCCACTGGTAGCCTTGGATCGCACATGCTCGCCCATTATGCCAACCTTTCCACCGTATCCTCGGTTATAGCTTTCAACCGGCGCAACAAATCCTCAGGCTTAGATCCCCTCGGGCGCCAGCTCGCTGCTCTCAAATCACGGGATCTCACTCTTTCTCCTTCAGCATCGGCAAAAGTTTCCGTTTTCGAAGTGGACATGACGAAACCATGCTTCAGCTTGGCACAATCCACCTACGACCACCTTGTCAAGTCCGTCACGCATATTGTCCACAATGCTTGGCCCATGAACGCCAAACAACCCTTCTCGGCTTTTCTTCCGCAATTCCGCGTTCTTCGCAGCCTGATTGACTTTGCTGCACTGATTTCCGCCAATTCTTCTTCTGATTCCAAAGTTGTCTTTCAATTCATATCTTCCATTGCGACTGTGGGACATTACCCCATACACGAGGGAACACCTCACATCCCCGAACAGCGTGTCACCATCGAGCACGTTCTCCCCAACGGTTACGGAGATGCGAAATTCGTATGCGAGCGCATGCTCGACGAAACACTTCACAAACACAGTTCCCGCTTCAGTGTCATGGCAGTGAGACTCGGCCAAGTCGCCGGGTGCTCCGCCTCAGGCTACTGGAACGAGAACGAACACCTGCCTTTCCTCATCAAGAGTTCCCAGACACTGAGGGCACTACCGAAGTTCGAGGGGCCAGTGAGCTGGACACCCGTCGATGCGGTAGCGGCAGTGTGTGCGGATCTTGCACTCGGCGAATCTACCGCCGGGGGCATTTATCACATCGATAATCCCGTTCGCCAGCCTTGGAGCAAGATGCTACCCCTCCTTGCTTCGGAGCTCGGCATTCCAGAGAAGAACATCATCTCGTTCAAGGAGTGGATCAAGCGTGTTCGGTCGTTTTCTCACGAGGCTACTCCCGGCAACGCAGATCTGAATCCCGCAAAGCGACTTGTTGATTTCTTAGAAGCGGATTTTACTAGAATGAGTTGTGGAGGTGTATTACTAGGTACTGAGAGGAGTCAGAAGGACTCGGCGGCCATGAGGGGTATTGGCAATGTTGGTGACGAAATTGTACGACGGTATATTGGCAGTTGGAAAGCGCGGGGGTTCCTGGCGTAAATTCGGTTTTGTAATTAATGTACTATAATACTATATATGTTATTGTGAAATCCGATTCCCTCCGTGAACTGTGATTTGTCCTGACAAGAACGGTTGGGAGAGTAAGATTTTGGTGTATGTACTACTCAGCCTTATACGAAGTCCCGGTTTGTGCGGCAGAACGTTTTGTATCTACTAAGACTTCCTTGGCCCGGCGTTGCCCGGCAAGATGTGCAAGGACCAGGAGTTCGATTCTCCTTGTCATCTTATGAAATACATAAAATTATTATGCACATACGTAATCTTACTGATCGAAATTAGATTTTGGGCGAGCTTGATTCTGCCTGTGCAGTCTGGTGATTACATGTACAGACTTTTCAAACAGTGGGCCAGTCCTTTGTAGATAGTACTGTTTTAATAATCAATTCCACAAATGGCTAAGGTAGGAAGCGCGTTACTAATGCAAGTTGTAGGTTCTACCTGCCTGGATCTTCCTAGCAATTTCTATTTCCGGATAGAATAGAAATTCCTCGAAATTAAACAGTCAATTTAACAGATGATTATCTCAAGGCTGGATACGGTACATCCATTTACGGTCAACCTACCACGAGCAAAGACCGGCTTAGGTCATGTAGACAGAGAAATCTACATGCAGAGAGCGGCAGTTTAAGTTCCGTGTAGTCCGTTTGTAGCAAAGGCTCGCTTACGGATACGACCTGTGAGTTCCACTACTTTATTTAGTCAAAACACACTCTCGAATGCGATTTCATCCAAATCTCGATCGCTAAGTAGGATCGTAAGATAGAGAATATGAGATACGAAAAATAATTAGGTTTATCTAGAAAAGGGTGAGGTGTTAGCTCTTATGTAGACAAGACAGGTGATGATCAGAAGAGAAGTCACGTGATCATAGGATATACTGTAGTTTGATAGTCGAGAAAAAACCGGTTAGAGTAGGGATCGCGAGTACCGAGTAGCTAGTCGACTACGCATGAGCTACTATAAGATTGCACCTGTAGTGCCCATTGTAAGGGGCTGCGCTCTGGGGAGCAATCGCGAGGTATACAAGAGGTTGTATTCGATGAGGAGCTAAGCTCCCAAGCTACGTAGCTGTCTATATACAAGCTGGTTACCCGAGTAACAATCAGACCAGTAAAGTCTAGGTGCACGAGGCAGCTTCTAGGTCCTGCGGCTATCGTCTAAACGTCGTTCAGGCGGTACGCAGAGAATCCAGGTACTCAAGACAGCACCCAGGTTCTACGAGTAGGCCGAGATTCCATCGAGGAGCTATCCAAAGAGCGTTCAGCCCATTACAATACCCCCCTCCTTAGGGTAATACCGTATCGCCTCTCCAAAACCCTTCCAGGAGGCGGCCCTCGCTATCTCGTTTAGTCTCTATAAACGCTTCCCAACGATCTACTACCTCAGCGTCCTCTAATAGCTCCGCTAGTTCGAGCGTCGTTTAGTAGAACCCTTTCTACTTCACCTCGTAGTATAGCTTACGCCCTCTCCTACAGCGGCGTACCTCTTCTGCTATAATGTCCTCTACCTCCTATTCGTCTTCTCCGTCTACCTGCAGCGGCTATAGCTAATAGTTATCCTAAACCTAGTTTAGGAGAGGATTATTACTAGTGAGCTTTAATCGGTCGACATAAAAAACAGGGTGCGGTTCTAGCGGCGTATCTAGTTAAACTAAGTGGCTATCGATTACCTTAACTACTGTGTACTTAGCGTTCTTCTAGTTAAGCTTCTTAGAGCTTCGCCCTATGCTATACTACTAATTAAGCTTCAACTATACCTTATCGCCTACTTAGTAGCTCTGTGCCTCTCTCTAAGTCTTATTCGCCTATCTCTCCTATTCTTATTAAGCGACTACCATTCCTGCTTAGGCTAGTTCTACAGCTTACTATAGTTTAACCGCGATCTCTACCGCTTTCTGCTCGTCCAAAAGCTGTTCAGCTGGTTTCCGCTGTTATCTTTTATTTCCTAGCTCTAGCTACAGCGGCTCCACTTCGTGCCCGTACTAAAGAAAGAATAGTAACATGCCTATTAACGTTACGTTTCTGCTATTAATAGCGATCTAGGCCATTAGGCAGAGTCATACCCAGTCGTCCTAAGCCTAGTTCGTAAAAGATCGGATATAGGTCTCCCAGACGCTATTCATTCTTTCCGTAGCGCCATTAGTTTATAAGTAGTAGGTAGTTAATAGTCTTCGTTTAATCTTTAGAAGCTTATATAGTCTCGCCTACAGGGCGCTTATAAATTAGCTGCCTCTATTAGAGGTTATAGCATCTAGTATCTAGTAGTACGCAACTACTCGCTCGATAAACTTCTAGGCTACTATCTTAGTCTTTATATTCAGAAGAGGTACGAAGATCGCGCCCTTACTAAGCCGATCAGTAATCACTATCAGGCTAGTCATACCCTCGCTCTCTAGTAACCCTTCAATAAAATCTATAGAGATCTCCTTCCAGATCCGAGTAGGTATCAGTAGTGGCTTCAGAAGGCCTTACGTACCCTCTCTCCAGAACTTACTCCGTCCGCAGGTGTCGCAGTTTCTAACGTATCTTCAAATCAAATTAGTCATACCTAGCTAGAAGTAGTCCCTTACAAGTATCTTATAAGTTAGCTTACGCCCTAGGTAACTAGTAACTAGTAAGTCATAGGCGCTGCTAATAATTGCCGTTCGCAACTCATCATTATCTGGTACCCACTTACGCCCTCAGTAAAACAGGACTCTACCGTCTACTAAGCAGTCTTCAATTAAGCACTTTAGGCCTAAGTTCGCGGGGAAACGTCGCTCTTAGTCCTCTACTACCTTCTTCGCTCCTTAGTAGACTCAATCTTTCGTCGCCACCTTCTCCTAGAGTTCTTCTAGCTCGTTCTACTGCATTCTTTCTCCTTCCTCTAGTTCTTTGGAAGGAGACTGGTCTAAACCATCTTCAGTCAGCAGAGAAGTGTCTTCTTTCTACTAGGATTATGCCTCTAGTACGTCCGACTGGTCTTTAGTCGTGCTAGCTGTCTCTTTTTCTCTTTATAGTCTCGCGACCATCACTAAGGCTCTACCATCCGAGCCCTCCTCGGCTAACTCCTCGTAGCAGGAGTTCGTTAGCTTAAATATTTACACGAAGCGCTTCTATAGGCGCTCATTTTCTACCCTTATAGGCAGGTCCTATTCTCTTCTCAAGAGCGCGTCAGCTCTTATATTCTGCTTACCCGGCCGATACAGCAGTTCTAGGTTATACCTACTAAGTAGGAGCGACTATCTTATCTAACACTCGTTTAGCATACGGGGTTTTATAAAGTACTCTAGGTTCTTATAATCTATAATCACCTTAAACTTCTCAACTAAACGTAGTTCGGAGTCCTATTCTTCAAGGCATCGTACTACTGCGAGTAACTCCTTGTCGTAGATCTCATAGTTACACTCGTGCGCGTTATTCTTCCGCAAGAAGAATGCGCATAGTCGTAAGACTCCATCGTCGCCGTACTACAATAGCACTCCGCCTACCGCGTAGCCACTCAAATCGCACTCGAGTACTATCTCCTAATCCAGGTTAAACGCCGCCAGCGTTGGCTCTGTGACAAAGATCTCCTTTAGCTTCTTAAAGGCCGACTGCTCTTCAGCTCCCTATTAGAAAGGGACGTTACCTATAAGCCTTGTAAGAGGTGCGGCTAGCTATACAAAGTTCTTAATAAACCTTCAGTAGAAGTTCGCGAATCCTAGGAACGATCTTACTCCCTTTACTATCCTTAGCGCCTCCCACTCGCGGATTACAGCTACCTTAGCTAGATCTATACTTATCCTCTTACCCGCTTCAATAATAAACCCAAGGTACTTAGTTATCTTAACTTTAAACTCGCACTTCTTAATATCCACCTATAGCCCTACAGCTTAAAGCTTACTAAGTACCCTTCAAACATACTCTCAATGCTAGCGCAGATCGCCGTCAGTATAGATTAGCACGTCGTCTAGATAGGCTGAGTAGAAGTCATCTAGGTGCTCTCTTAAGGTCTAATTAATATATCGTTAGAAGGTGCTTAGGGAGTTCGCTATACTAAACGGAGTAACTAGCTATTCGAATAGTCCGAACCTTATTCGGAAGGCCGTCTTCCACTCATCGCCTAGTGCGACGCGGATCTTATAGAAGACCGCGATAACGTCTAACTTTATAAACTATTTAGCTTTGCTTAAGCTATTAAGCGTCTCTTAGATAAGCAGTAGTAGATATTAGTTCTTCTTAGTAATCGCATTCAGGGCTCGATAGTCGATATATAATTAGAGCTCTCCTCCCAGCTTCTTCGCGAATAGCACTAGCGTAGCGGCTGGTAAGCTACTTATACGGATAAATCCCTTCTCGAGAAGTAACGTAAGTTCTTTTTAGAGAACTAGGAGCTCTCTACGCGATATGCTATAGAAGGGTCTCTATAGCGGTTAAGCGTCCTTTAGCTCTAACTTAATCTTATAGTCCACCCCTAGCTCTTAATGCGGTAGAAGCTTTTCTGCTTACTTCAGGTTAAAGAGCTTATAGAACTTCTAGTACTACGTTAGTAGCAGCGCTCGTACGTCTACGGGCTTCTTTAGTTATAACGCTTTATTAATATCCGCGATCAACGCGGCGAAGATCTAAACGCTATTTAGAGCGCTCTTATATCGGCGAAGTAGCGCTGCGAATATAGTAGCGTTCACACATTAGACTCCTCCTTATAGGGTCCTCTCTATTAATCGCACTCAAATACCTTTCAAGTAGATAAAGATGCTCTTCTTCGCGGGGGCTATCATCACATCACGGTAATCCATCCACCCCCTTCCTAAGTAGACGTCCTCACTAGAGGACAAATCTATTACATATACATAGGCAGACTCTTCGTACCCATGCAGCTTAAACGAGAATTAGGCGACCTCGTTAATCTCCAACAGCTTACTATTCACTCTCTTAATTATTCAGGTAGGGATCTGAAAGCGCTCTAGACAGTAGCAGTAAGCGAACTTTCTATTAATTAGTGCGTAGCAGAGACATCTACAATCAATTAGTACCATAGCGTTAACTACGTGGTTCATAATCAGATCTATAGTAATTAGCGGGGGACGCATGTGCTTTCGCTGAAATTAACTCTATTCGCTACTTATCTGCTAATCCATCTTCAGAGGCTCTAAGCCGAGACTCTAGCTTAGAGCTCCTCTTTTCCCAAGTCACTGTTAGCTAGGTCCTCAGCCTCTTCTAGCTACTTCCGTTTTTCGCTCTTAGGGAGGGCTCTAGCTCTCTCAACCTAAACGTTGTTCGGATAGTTCCTAGCTAGATAACCCGGCTCTCCACAGCTATAGCAGTCCCGCGGAGGTCGTCTTAGCCTACTCATCTTCTCTCGTGCTCAATTAACTCTTAAGGGTTCCTAGTTCATCGCTTCTAGGCTATTCTCTCGCTAGGTAGCTTTTAGAGATACTTACGCGTGATTATAGGCTACGTTCTATTAGTTCCTCCTATATAGTTAGATCTGATACAGGTCGTTAAAAAGCTCAATTACCTTGTCTATATACTCCTTTAAACTCCTATTCTTAGAGATATAGAGCATTAGCTTCTAGAGTTCCTCTCTAAGTCCTTCGCTAAACATCTCACGAGCTACTACTAGACTGAACGTCTATCGGGACTCTACGCGGAGTTAATTAAACTCCAAGACGTAGTCGCGTATTAGGCGTCGTCCTTACTTTAGGTGTCGAAGCTTATTCAGAGCTCGCTGCTACTAGTAGACGTCTTAGAAGTGAGTATCTATATGCTCCCATAGTCCGGCGGTCGTTCACTCCTTATTCTTAAGCACCTAGAGAAGAAGAACCTAGTTTACCTTATTCTTCGTTTAGCTAAGCACGTATCGAACCTTCGAGTCCTCCATTAGGAACATAGCAACGTCGTATTCTAGCTTTCCTTCGTATTTAAACTTCCAGCTTAGGTAGTTCTTACGGGTCCCATCAAAACGTTCTAGGTCTGGGAACTTATTCTTATAGGCCGTTAGCTCAGTAGTTATTATTAGCAGTAGTAGTAGAGTATTAACTTCTAAGGAGGCTTCCGAGCGTTCTTCGGCTTAGTTCCGTTCAAGTGCCTCTAAACGACTAACTATCAGGCCAAGAAGTCGCATTATCTACTCTATTATCTGAACTATAGCGCTCTAGTCGCTCTTCGGTGAGCTCTTTTGCCTTAGCGGGCTCCTCTCTCCTACCACCATTAACCGTTTTACAACTGCTTTAATTGTTAGGCCAATCGCTACCTCTTTCTACCTATTCTCTCTTAGCATTTATATAATCTTACGCAGGATCTCTTCGTCCGAGACTCCTGCCTAGCTCTTAGCGGTAGCGTACGCCGCTAGCTCTTCTACGTTTAAGTTAGGAACGTTAATCTCCATTATACTGTTCTTAGGGGGGTTCTAAGAAAACTTTATCAAGTACCCCCTTATCGTCGCGTATAGCTTCTAATTATCTCTTAATCTGCTCGCGCAGTCCCAGACTGCGGTCTACTCCTCGTCGGCGAGGACTAGTAGGGCTTACCTTCGGCTGTCCTTATTACTAGCCAGAATCTAAATAGCGCTCTATCGCTGTTGCGTCGCGTCCCTAAGAAGACTCACGTCTTACCGTCTCGCTTATAGGATCCCGTCTCCGATTAAGAGTAATCGCACGGTCTATACCTCGTCTAATAGAGAATTAACAGGACTTTCTTACTATAACGTCCGCTTTTAGCTAACTATACGCTAGGCCCAAGTGGCCTTTAGGTAGTTTATTACGCGACGTTGCGCCTACGGCTCGGCTTTCCAAGACACGGTAGGGCTTCTAACAGGTCCTAGGCGACTCTTTCGCCTACTATCTCTCACAGCTAAGCTTCCTGCGAAGCTCTACTCTAGGTGTACTATCTTGCGACAGTCCACCTACTCGCTGCGCTAAGGCCTTTCGTACCTATTACAGCACCAACTCCGTGTTACTAGCTTATACTAATAGCACGTTCTAAAGCTTAGTCAGAAGACAGTCCGCCTAAGGCTTATGTCTAATTAGGATCGAATACAAAATATAAGGGGCTACGCTCTAGGGAGCAATTACGAGGTATATAAGAGGTTGTATTTAATAAGGAGCTAAGCTCCTAAGCTACGTAGCTGTCTATATACAAGCTAGTTACCCGAGTAACAATCAGACCGGTAAAGTCTAGGTGCACGAGGCAGCTTCTAGGTCCTGCGGCTGTCGTCTGAACGTCGTTTGGGCGGTGCGCAGAGAATCCGGGTGCTCGAGACAGCACCCGGGTTCTGCGAGTAGGCCGAGATTCCATCGAGGAGCTATCCAAAGGGCGTTCAGCCCGTTACACCCATTGAGACAAAGTTTGGACGATCAAAATGAGGGTCCGCCAAGAGCCAAGAGCCAAGAAATGGCATCATAAGTTTGGAATACTCGGGCCGGTATGTAGGGAGTACCCGGTTTGAACCCTTCATTTCGGAAGGTAGGGTGCGGAGACGGCAAGTATCATTGGCTAAGATGATATGCTTAACGGTGGAGATATAATGTTCGGTCTGGGATACTCGGATCCATGGCATGGAGTTGTGGGACAGGCGAATTGCCCGGTTTGTATCATGGCCCGGTTTGTATCATGGTCCGGTTTGTGTAGTCGCATCGTTTGTAGAATGGACTAATGTGTATATCAGACAACGGACTCGGCAAGATGGCAGCTACTTGAGATTATAGGCGTTGTTATCAGTCTCCGGGCCAAGCTGTGGACAGCCATTGGCGAGCCAGTGGTCGATAGCTGGGATTTCTTATCATGGAGGGGCTTGGTAGGCAGAGCATGCAAGCAGGGGAAACGATATGTACCGTGTCGCATCATGACCAGCTGGAGTGCCTGACGACCGCTCGGACTTTGAGGTTTCGTCGAGTCGACAAACATCAGCAGTTGTGGCTAGGGGTTTCCCCGCACGAGCCAGATATGACGTACCTCAGCCCTGGAGGGCGGTCTGTCAGTACAACTGGCGCAATGGATCGTGACGAGCAGGACGTCAGCCGTTGGTGTGAGAACAGGTCGCTCAGCGGGGGGCGGGATTGTCGGCGGGTCCGGTACCGAAGCTTGGTGCATGGCAGCCAAGCAGTGAAGGTCGTTAGCTTATCCACGTGGTTTTGCAAGTCACCCATGCCAAGCGCGTGGAATGCGACTCCAAGCGCCTGGCAGCGCCCACGTCAAGCTTCAATATAGCCTAGCTCAACGTCGATCGCCCTGTATTAGAAAATGCACCAGTGGGTAGCCGCTTCATGTTCTGCCGCGGGCCGATGGGAAAGTCCGGCCGGAGGGTGGAGACTGAGGTTCGACCCCTGTCGCACTGGTTCCGTGTACATAGTGCTACCGTGTACATACCGTATCCTACCTCGTACCTCTCCAACGGCAATCGCCATGTCATCCTTCCCTTACATGCTTACACCAGTAGGCCGTCTTGCTTCACCCTCCGTCTCCATCAGATGTCGGTACGCACGTATGCCCATCATCTCCAATTACAGGGCCGCGCGGCGCATTAGCATCAGACCCCTCGACACTACCGACGCACTCCCTGGCACTTTTTGCCGAGTGTTCCAGACGTCGGACCATCCATCGCATTGCTAGCCCTTCTTTCTCGCTCTCTCTATTTCCTCTTGATTCATGAAACATGTACTGTGGTACAGGGACCAGTACATAAGCATGTACTTACACTAGCTAGCTGCAGGACGCCCTAGCCCATCCTACAGGTAGTCGTGGCCTATAGCCAATCGACAGCCGCTATGAGTAGCATATCCCTCTTTGCTATACTCTGTCGAGCTATTTCGGAAACACCCAAGCCAGCCATGCTGTGCCCTTTTCGTCACATTGCGTCCAATAGCCACCATGTCCATATGCACACGTACGTCTCTGCACAGGATCCCTCAAGTAGCAGTCCCAAAACCAGCTCGCTACCATTTATGCCAAGCACCCTTCGTCCTTACTTAGTATCGCTAGTGCTCCACTTGCGTTGGCTCTCTAGTTTACGGCTCTATTCTCGCCGCCTCTCGCAATCTCTTCTAAAAGAGTACGCAAACGGCGACTAGCGGAGCAAATAAGCCGAATAATAACCTTGTACATTAGTAAAGAACAGGACCGAGACCCATCGTAAACGTCGTAACAGACGTCTGTTTGTTGCCTGCGACTAACTGCCGTCACATCCTGTCATCCTCCCTGGTTTCTTAGCTATTAGCTAAACTTCTTGGACACACTATAGGAGTCATCTTGGCCTTCTTGACGTCCAACCTGCATTATATTGTTGAACGCTACCATGGATTCACATCCCACTAGTCGATGAAAGCTTAAACATGAGCTTGTATTTCATGACCCTTCTGCCCGTCTGATCAAGTAGCTGCCCACGTTGCCTACTTACATACGCTCCATATACTTACAACTCACACCACGCGATCCAAGCAGCCAAGTCGTACATTGTCTTTGCATTTGTATTTTGATAAGTAACAAGGGAACAAGATACCCCTCTACCATGGCTTCAACGCCTACTACCACCCAACGGTCACGTCAACTGCCTGGTTTGGCCTGCGATGAGTGCCGCAGACGAAAGCTTCGATGCGATAGAGTTCAGCCACAATGTGGCGTTTGTCGCGATTCTGCCACTACCTGTGCAACTACCACCACGCGCCAGCCTCGTGGTCCGAAAAGAGGGCATCTTCGCGCCCTCCAGTCTCGAATAGGTAATATTTGGGTCGCACGTCCACATGCGCATTACGCTAACATGCTTCCAATAGTTGCCCTTGAACGTCGCTTGAGCAGCGACAGAACGTCCGAGGATACCACCGACGACGATTTCACACGTCTTCCCGATGAACTGGACACTTTCGCTACCCCAGACCAACAAGCCTTCTCGGATCTTATCCCCCAAGATGCTCGCGACTTTTTCGAAAAAGAAGCGTCGAGCAGTGACTTGGCACACAATTTTGAAGTCGATTCCGTTTTTTCCCAGCTGAACTCGGCCATGGCACTTCCAATCACACGACTGTCCCCAGTCGACTTTATTTCCGAGCCCATGCGCTCCGACCTGTACGTTTTGATCGCTGCCTAGTCAAAAACTCCAGCTTTCGCTAATCATAATGCCCATTGCAGAAGCCATCTCTACTTCGACCGCTTTCACAGTTTCTTCCCCGTTCTCAACAAGCGTCACTACTTTGTACGAGCCCGGAGATCGCATTATGAGCAAGAGGATGAGGCCTTTTACTGTCTGCAGCATGCCATGTGGACCCTCGCAGTCTCCACTTCGAGTCAGTTCCAACACATCCAGGACGACTTGTACGCACACACACACCGTATGATTGAGAACCTTGAACAGCGATATCTCAACGCCGAGTGCATGCGATTAGAGCAGGTGCAGGCGCGGGCTTTGCTTACCATCTATGAATTCATGCGCGTGGGTTATAGAAAAGCATGGATGAGTGCAGGCAAGTGCTTCCGCTTCGCTATGCTCATGAAACTCCACAACATCGACGGACGTGACGGTGTTGCATCGTTGTTACTCCAAAACCTCACTTTTGTCGAAATCGAAGAGCGAAGGAGAACGTTTTGGATGGCTTATACCATTGATCGAATCATTAGCTTACTGGACCGGCTACCGGTTACGTTTGATCAGCATACTGTAAGTCGATCTCCCGCCCTCACGCAAGCGAACGCTTATTCTAACCCGAATCAAAGATCCTCACCCGGCTGCCCTGCCCTGAAAAGGAATTCCAGTCCGATGAGCCCACCGTCATGGATTTCCTACCTAGCCCGCTACTGGTGTCCGAATCCAGAATACCATCCACTTTCACAGATTCGATCCAACTCATCGCGATATGCGGACAGTTGTTGTCGCATCAGCAGCAAGGCGTTGTCGAGCATGCGCAAGGCTTGATCTCACTTGGGTTCTGGGATAGGCAACAACAACTGGATGCAAGACTGGAACAAGCTATTCAGGGCATGGCTCTCGACGACCCATATGCGTTGATCTTCCAAGATCCAATGGCGTACTTTACAGTGCTGGCCGCCCAGGCATCTAGCCTCATGCTATTCAAATCTAGTCAGATAGCGCCATGGGGCGCAAATGAAGGCAGTGATGTCGTTGCCGAATGCGAAAAGCGAGCCATGGCGGCCGCACACCAAATGATCATGATGTCCAAGGCTTTGGTTGAACTCAGCTACTTCAAGGTAAAAACAACTCCAATTTGTTTTGAATATCCAACTTTGTTGCTAACTAACGCCTAAGATCCATCCATTTACTCCAGTCCTTCTCCACTTCTGTGGAGACTTCCTCATTTCCAACCATCACCTAGATCCCACCTTCGAAATGCGCCTAACGCTACAAACTGTGCTACAAGCCCTGAGCCCAGTAAACGTCATCGCACAAGAATGTGTAGATAGACTAAGGATAGTTGACTAAATAGAATATGAACGTTGACACACAACTTGTTTCTCCATCTCTAACTTGCAACCTTCTCGGGCTCCGCAGGCGGAGCGGCAGCAGAGCCAGCAGGTAGAGGCTCGTTGATCTCAGCAAAGTTTCCGAGAGTAGCATCTTCCTCGGGTCTCTTGCTGCCTGGCGGTCCCTTGAACAGAATAATAACCTCCTCAAAGTACTTGTTCGTCTTGGCAAAGTACTTGTCGGCCTCCTCCTTGCCCTCGCCGACGAGCTTGCCCTCGAGAGCAGTCTGGAAGGTCTTGAAGAGGAAGAAGTGCCTCTCGATACCGGTGCCAACGTTCCAGGCCATGGTGGGCGTTTCCAAGTGCCTAATGGCGACGAAGCTGTAGAGCAAGTGCGTCATGCCCCAGTCGACATTCTTGATTTCCTTTCCGATGAGGACCGACTCGGCTTCGCTGAAACCGCGGCGATGGCGGAGGACGAGTTGCTTTGCGCGGAAAAGAGATGCGGCCATGATGTCGAGGGCGCAGTGGAAAGTGAAATCGGCCTCGGGGTCCTGAGTCCGCTGCCACTCGTCGGTTGTGCCTTCGACGATACCCATCTCTAGTGTGTATTGAGCGAGTTGCTGGCACACATCTCGAATGTTCCAGCGGGGGCCGAAACGGGAGAGTTGTTGTACCGTGGCTAGTGGTGGAGGCTCATGGTGGACGGGTGCTACAGCAATCCTGCCAGTGGTGGGGTTTGGAGGAGTCTCGGGAAAGTCGTATCCGTATCCGTGAGTGCTAGTGCTAGACATGGTAGGCAGAGATAAGGTGATTCGAGATGTTGTTTGGTTGGTAATTGGGAATAGAAGATGTAAGCGTGGTTGGATACCTTCTTACATTTGCTTGCTCGGCGAATATATATATCTTACATCCGATCGGTTGAGCGGTGGACACGGAGTTTCTCAACTCGGCCGGAGTTACTCGGAGGTTCGTGGTTTTACTCAACGGAGCATGTTGGATATAATCTACGATCTGCAGCGCAAAAGCTAATGTGTATACTAGGAACGTGTGAAAACTCGCATATTTCTCGATGGCCATTGGGAATGATTTGCACATACACATCTAGTTGACCTCTTACGGACAATCAACTCTACTCGCAACGGAGTGAAGCATGGTGCCAAGCCCCCGGCAGCTTTGCACTAATTGACTGGTAGAATAAATGTTTCACTAAGGCCTTACCTAAGCAAGTTAATGCTGCCGATAGTTGGATACTCTTTCTTAGTTAGTGATGTGTGATCGCTACAATGTTGCAGATATGCATGCAACCCATGGCATCTTGAATGAGTTTTTAAGTACTTTTCACATACGGTAAGTATCTGGACACAAAATTGCACATAGTATTTGAAGCACCTGTCCATATTGAACAACCAGGTTGGTGTACCTACGACGGATTCGACCACTAGAGACTTGCTATGTGAAGCCAACAGCCGCCAATTCCTCGAAATTTCTGTCAAAGAGATCTGTAGTCCGATTTAATATCTTGATCAAATTTAAGCGTCAGTGAGCTCCATGTTGGTGGTTCTCATTTGAACGTCGAGACAATAATCTGTCATCCCGCTTTTTGATTAATAGTTGATAGCATTTATAACTGTAAGTGTCTCTCATCTAGACTTTTTATAAGCACTTGATTATGAATCGTGAAAAAAAGATACATTAATGCACATGGTCAATAAGAACGCTAGATGCAATACATGAAAGTAGTATGTGAGAAGTTGTCCTACAGCACCACAATTAACTTCTGAGCCGAAACACCCTTCTTGATGCGCTCCAATGCTTCCTGAATCTGATCCAACCCCTTGCCGACAACAAAGGGTTCAGGAGCACACTTGTATTTTCCTGCTGCCAATGCGCCAGGTAGGAAATGCTCGTATATGGCACTTCCTACCTCATTCTCCATGACATCATCTCCCCAAATGAATTTGTAGCCAATGCCCTTGACTTTGCAGTTTACCATGGTCGAAACCTTGAACCAAAGGAAACGCGCGATGAAAGTCACCATGTTCATCCCTGTGGGAGGGATCTGACTTGGCATGGGAAGAGATGCTTGTGCGATGAACTTGACTCCGGATGAAGCAGCTACAATCTTGATGCAAGCTTCCATGGATCCATCGCCGATAGCAACGCTACCAGCCAGTTCCGATCCCTTGAGTATGCCGATGATATCTTGAACCGCTGTCTCACTGTGGTAGTCGAAAATGTGGGTGGCGCCCAGGCTCTTGACGAAGTCGAAATTCTTGGGCGATGCAGTAGTGATGACTTCGTATCCAGAGGCAGTAGCAAGCTGGATAGCGTTGGCGCCAACACTTGTTGAGCCACCCCATATCAGCACAGCTTTGCCTTTCTTTTCAGACTTGAGTGAAGGCAAGTCCAGTGCTAGGTAGGTTTTCATGTACAATGCGCATGCAGCCGTCGAGATGGCGAGCGGGAGCACACATGCGTGCTCATAATCAAGGCTATCTGGTATTGGGGAAACGAGGTTTTCGCGTAGCACGACGTATTCTTGAAATGCGCCTTCGCAGGAACGGTTGCTTCGTTGGTCGATGCTCACGGCGTCACCGAGTACGCGGTCGCCGGGGTGGAAGCGAGTGACTTTGGATCCAACCTCGACGACCTCGCCTGCTACGTCGTGACCGAGGATAAAGGGATATTTTATCCAGGGCATCATGTTATCGCCCATGGCTTGCTTCATGGCCTCAACAGGGTTGATAGCGATAGCTGCCGATTTGACGACTACCTCATTCGGCCCAGGTGGTGTGTAGGGTGCTTCGCCAACATGCAACGGAAACACTTGTTTGCCCGCAAGCCAAGCGGCCCTGTTGGTAGGTGCCATTTTCGTAGTCCAGAAATCTAGGGATCACGAACGGAGAGGTGGTCCTAGTAAGACTTTGTGGATTGCAAACAAGATTTTATGATCGTATAACACAGCAAGCTATGTAGGAAAAAAGATGTGTTGGATGTGCCAACTATTTAGGCGTGTTTAGTTGCAAGACTTGACCTGACGGATGGTTCAGCAGGAGAAGTCAATTAATCTAAGAATTGAATAATGGCGAGGGCAGATGAAGGTAGAAATGAAGCAGGATGGCTACCGATCAGCGGATGGAATGCATGTACACATATGTACTTTCTGAGCAGAATGTCGCAAAATGGTACACATTCGATAGTCGGCCCGAAAGGAGCGGTAGTCCCGACTGGCGCAAGACTTACCAATTTCGTCTACAGAAACAGGCCAAGCCATTGGTCCGGAGTAATCTAACCACTTATCGGACTTCCAAGATGCACCGTCCCGGTAGTACCTGCTGATCTGGTCACCAGCTGTCCAATTGGGTCAAATGATGGACTTGTCAACATTGATTATCGCGCTTATTTTCTACATGAAAGAATAAACGTTTTCAGGATTCGAGATAATCCTTGTATGTCTTCACGGTTTCGATGACGGTGCTCTTCAAGGGAAGAAACTCTCTTCCAATGAGCGCCTTTGCCCTCGCTGCATCTACCTTGTACACGCCGCCCTCGGGATATCCAGCGATATGCCATGTGTCTTTCGCCGGCAGCCTTTCGCGGAGTTCTGGAAACTCTTCATAGATGATCTCTATTATATCCTTGATGCAAAGCTGCTCTGAAGATGTGAGGAAGATGCGTTCACTAGTAAGTTTTTCCTCTTCTATTGCTTTTACATGTGCAAGAGCAGCGTCCGTTACGTTGATCCATGTATAAAGCCCAGTAGGGAAAATCTTACCATCAAGAAGCTTACTGAAAATCTCGTTGGAAGCATTGAGTGGATCTGGTGGATAACCTGGATACCTGACCATTGGCCCAAAAATACCAGGAGGAGTGAGGGTAGTTAATGTGAAGCGAGGCTTTTCTCGATCCATAAACTCCCAAGCAGCATTCTCCGCAAACGTTTTGCTGGCACGGTATCCAGGAATCCAGCTCGAGTTATCGAGTGCCTCTTCAAGTGTGATTGGATTCCAATCCGCGACTGTGTACGTGTGCCCCGGCCAATCTCCTTTTGAAGCATCGATCAAAGCAGCCATGGACGAAACATAAACTACGCGCTTGACGGAAGGCGCTAAGCGAACTATGGAGGAGAGTAGACCAGTTGTTCCAATGATGGAAGGATCCAGTAGTTCTTTTTGGACGTCATTGCAGCTTCGCACGTTAGGACTAGCTGTGTGAACTACTGCGTCGAAGATGTGGTCGCCTTGGAAAACATAGTCGAAAGACCCGAGTTTTGCAACATCGGGCACAATAAAAAAATCGAGCTTGTCTTTTGGTAGGGTTGGATGAAGAGCCTTGATGCGGTCTACTCTTGCTTGGCTGCGAACGGTTGTAACTACGGTGTGGCTAAACCGACAGCTATCAGCATGACTTCGTGAAATATGATGGAGCAAGGGAACTTACCCGCGTTCAAGGAGATGGTTGAGAATATGAGCGGCTAGAAACCCATTTCCACCGGTAAGCAGAACATGCATTCTGCGATAGTTCGGGCTGGTATGGAATCTCGACGGGGACATCGGTGTACGAGGTTGTTGCGGTAGTACACGAATCGAAGATCAGGAGAGTAGTCTGGCATTAACTCTTTAGTTTTGTTACTTCTAACTCAAGCTACAAAGATCATAATCAGTCATAACGATACACTAATCTCATTGTTCGAGGTTCGGCACTTGACAATTGATACTCCGAAGGAGTAATAATGGATCCGCAAGCCAAGCCAAGAGTCCTGCGATTATGGATAGAGGGCAAACCTTATTAAATTCGCATTGAAACGACTGTTTCAAAAAGAACTCCGCGCATTCATTCACACGGAAATAGTGTCCTGATCTCATTTTTGTAGCACATGATACGGAGTTTCTCTCGGCCTAGTGCTCTGGCGATTTGACTTATCAGCTGCATCTCTCTTGGCCCCCATCGAGTAGTAACATAAAGACCCTTAAGCTTGTGAGTGGTGGACTAGCTCTTGTTAAATACGATAAGCACATCAATACGCTAACCTCTGTCTTCATCGTTGCCACAGCTTCATTCCCATTGCCTCATTCCGCTATATCCTCTTCAAAATGGCAGCTTCAGCCAAGATTCCAATTGTTGATCTGGCGCCATACTTCGCTGAAGACGCCTCTCCGGGAGCCAAAGAACAAGTCGTCAAAGAGGTCTGCGACGCCGCCAGAACATATGGCTTCTTCAGCATCGTTGGTCATGGCATTCCCTTCAAAGACCAAGATACCACCCTTGAATGTGCCAAGAAATTCTTTGATCTATCTGCTGAGGAGAAGAAGGCAGTTTTCATTGAAAACTGCCTGGGAATCTCAAACCGCGGCTACGAAATGTACAGAGGCCAGACTTCAGAGCCAGGCACTCTGCCTGACATGAAAGAGGTGAGGTTTACCCAGGCTGTTATTCTTAACCCTTTAACTAAACTGTTGTAGGGCTTCGTTATCGGCGCAGAGATCCCAAAAGACCACCCTGATGCTGGCACTTTCTTGACTGGCCCAAATCAGTGGCCCGATTCTCTGAAATCCGAGGATTTCGAGATGCCTCTTATGGAGTACCGCAACAAGATGGTTAAACTGGCCGAAAAGGTTCTTAGAATCCTCGCCTTGGGTCTCCCGAAAGAATGGAACTGTTCACCTGATGTTTTCGATGAGTTCTTCATCAGCCCATCGGGAAACCTGAGGTTGCTGCACTATCCGCCTCAACTCTCCACCGACCCTAAACAGCTTGGAGGTAAGAATGCACTGTGCCGTGAATAGATGTTCAAGATTAGCTAATAATTGAAAAGCCGGTGCTCACACAGACTTCGGTGGAATCACTTTCTTGCTTCAACAACCTGGCTCAAAAGGTCTTGAGGTCTTTTACCCACCCACCGGAAGCTGGGTCCCAGTTCCAGTCACTCCAGACTCGTACGTAGTTAATATTGGCGACCTTGTTCAGAAGTGGACGGCTGGTTACTATCGCAGCGCTTTGCACCGCGTTATCAACTTTGGCGAGAACCACCGTTATTCCGCTCCATTCTTCTTGAACGGTAACATGAAACTGAAGATTCAGCCTCTAAATGGGTCTGGGCAGGAGTTTGGCGTTCGTGATCATTTCATGTGGAGACTGAAGACTTCTCTTGGTGAAGAGAAGAGCAAATTCCTTGAAAAGGACTCAACGGTACAAGCGGTTGCAGCATAGTATTTTTACTACGTTCTATCACTAAATTTCGAATGAAATCTATACAATTTAGCTTGGGAGTCATTTGTTCTACTTGGCAACCATGCCAATTGAGTTTATGCATACAAGACGCGGAACTAGATCTTGACAGGACCAATAACATTACTGTGGTCAATAAAACACACTTTTACATGGACCTCTAAATTGATACAATGAATTGGCGATGAGAATACAAAATGTCGCAAAAGATATAGTTTATGGAGCTGTGTGTATCTTAGTATATAAAGATTTCGACCTCAAGCTACATAGGCTTCCCTTCTACTGTTCTAAATCATGATAGGTCCTGCATACAACTATTTTGGATCTTTCCAAATACGTAATTGTTACTCAGCTTCTACTAGTCCTGATTGTATCAGACATCTATCAAGGGAATGCTAAGAACTTGAGCATTATGAGCCTTTAAATATTTCGACTCTAATTCTCTAGCATTCTGATCTCACGGGCAATAAGCTATCAATACTGATTATAATTATAGTTTACCTCTCCTTTTCTCGCACTTACGATATATATTGAACGTGTTGAACTCGACCTCTCTTTCTACGAAACAACCAAAATATCTATTCAGGCCTAGCGATTACTGCTATTATTTACGATTTATGCATAAATCACCACCCTAGAAACTAAAAGCGGTAGTAGCTCCATCTCTCCGAACACCGCCTGCCAACTTTCAGGATGCCTTCGGCTTAGGTCTCACATCCTTCCAGCCCATCCAGCAACTTACAATGACGCCTAAAATTGACATGCCAGTGCCAAAATAGAATGTAGTTCCTATGCTGTCACTGTATGCCCTTAAGAGGGATGGCAATTCTCCAGCATTAACGAGGCCTCTCATCCGTGTTACACCAGCCTCGATGATCTTCTTCGAGTCAACAGTGGGCAAATCACTCTTGAGGTTGTTCTTCAACTCATTTGTAAAAATAGTCTGGCCAATAACAGTCATTAGAGCACCACCGATCTGTTGAGAGAAGACGAAAATAGCGAGAGCTACTGGAACATCGGTAGGTAGAAGGGAACTCTGTAACGCGATCATTGGCTGGGAGATGTTAGTTATGAGAGATACGTGATGGAAGCTTTGATGAAATTACCATTGGAAGCGCGAGACCTCTCCCGGTTCCGGAAATTATTTGATATCCTACTAGTTTTGCAATACTTGTTGAAGTCGACACGGTGGTAAACAGGCCGGATCCTATGGAATTCAATGCCCCACCTACAAGTATGAAAGGCAAGTAATAACCGAATCGTTGCACTATGGCTCTGTCAGCAGATCAGCTTACAATCTTGGAAGGGTATCTTACCAAGCTTTCCGCTCAGGATAGTGAACACAATTTGTGTCATAATCGTGGGAAGAAAATTGTAGCCGCTTTCAAAAGGTGTGTCGGCCTTGACGCCTTGGAAATACAGTGGCAAATAGTACGCTGTCACAAACACTGTGCCCGAGATGATAAAGATCGTTGAGCAGCATGACCAAACGATCCGTTTTCCCAGCATTGAGAAGGGTATCAGAGCAGACATACCCTTGCGGTAGTTCCAAAAACAGAAGATGGCGAACATGACTCCGGTTCCACAGAAGAGGCCAATGACTTCCTGGCTGTCCCAGGCGTAGCGATTTCCGCCAAAGTCTAGGACGATGAAAAACATGATAGCAGCGGGCCCAAACAGTCCAAATCCAATGAGATCGAACTCTTGCATTGGGTGCTTGAGAACTTCCTTCCAGTGGGGTTTTACAAGGATCTCGGGAACGTTCAGGAACAGGAGGGCAGCGAAAACAAGAGCACCAGCGGGAAGGTTGATGTAGAAGCCTGGAAAATGTTAATAACGAACATGATGGGGGGAAATGCACACATACACCAGCGCCATGATAGAAACTCCGTGATGGCTCCTCCGATAAGGGGCCCACTGGCAGAACCCAGGTTTCCGACTAGTTGTGTTAATGAATGGGTTGTATGTCAGCTTGTCTAGAACTTACAGGCCATGAAAAATCCAAGCATTCCAGGTCGACTTTCAGGAGGAATGGAGGCATGTATCATTGTGAAACCTCCGTTCATGAGTCCAGCACCGCCAAGTCCAGCAATGAATCGTCCAGCAATCAACATGGCCGATGTTTGTGCTGCACCACAGATAGCAGACCCGATATTGAAGATTGTGAAAAAACCCAGGAAAATTTTCTTTGAGTTGAACCGAGCGTACATTTTTCCGGTCAGAGGCTGAAAAGAAGCACTAAAATGCGGGTTAGGGGATAATACGTATTAAAAGAGAAAATACGTACGCGCATAGCTGGTAAGCAGCTCCATACCAACCCACGTCAAGCAGGGAATTAAATTCGTCGGTTATTTGGGGGATTGCCTAGAACCCAAGTCAGAATTGAAATATCTTGAGCCGACTGTAAGACAGACTTACCGTAGAAAGAATTGACAGATCCAGCATCATGAGGAAATATACGACCGTCATGGAGATCAAGAAGGCCCACCTATTTAGGAGCGAAAGGTTAGCGTATGCCAGTGCAAACACATAATGGTTCTCTGATATCAAGAGCCAACTATGGTCTTTTGATGTCCCATGAAGAATGCCAGGTTCTGGGGAACGCCATTTCGCTGTACTTACAGTCGGAGTCCAGAGAGATAGGAAGGTGCCGGAGGGTCAGCAACAAGCGGTTTATCAAGTTCAGAGGTTGTTTTGCTCGCTGCAGAAGAAGGTACCTCTTTCATCGCCATTATGAACTGATTGGATGAGTCATCCACCATCGCGTTTATGTCGTAATCCCATATCTTGTGCGACCGATCATGAATTTCCTGTGCAATCTTCTTGGGATTGGAGAGGCACTCCGGGTTTTGGAATTCGTATATCTCACCAATGACTCGGCTAGTATCCATGACCCATTGGGACCGATCATAACGGACATCGTTATAAACCTTGAGGGCAACGCGGGAAGCTGTAGGGCGCAAAGCCTTGGGATACTCCGACACATGTTGCAAAAGGGCGGCAAGAGCTAGGCAGTCCTCGATGCCACATCCTGCACCAGCACCGTGGTGAGGTGAAGAAGCATGTGCTGCATCGCCCGCTAGGCAAAAACGACCGTTGACATAGGAGGGTACAGGCTCTTTGCGTGTGTCAAACACTGCCCATTTGTCCAGATTCTCAGGTAACAAAGCCATGAGATCTTGGACTACGGGATTGAATTTTGAGAAAGCTTCAGTCGCCTCGGCCTTGGTAGCTGGAACAACAAATCTGTTGTCTGGTGCTGTCCACTCGTCAGGGTCGGTGACGAAAGCGACGACGTTCAGGATCGTGTTGTTTGCCACTGGAAACGTCAAGGCGTGAGCACCAGGACCACAGTGCATTACACGGTTGCTGGTCTTGAAGACTCCGAGAGCGGCCCTAGCCTTCTCCATCGGTACAAGACTCCGAATGGCGTATTTATGGCTATAGGAAGGAGTGCATGCAGGGTGGTTGTCTCCAAGAATAATTTCTCTCATCTTCGAATGGATCCCATCGCAACCAATCACTAGGGCTTGTCAGCACTTGATCTGCTCACGCTTTTAGAAGATTTACCAATGTCGGCCGTCGCAGTCGTCCCATCTCGGAATGACAAGTGAATCCTCTCATCTTCATCATTTTCAATTACAGAGACGAGATCCTTGGCATGCTGAATGTAGTCTGATGGGACCAATTTTACCAACTCAGCCAGGTAGTCAGATCTTCGACACCCTTCAAACCCACGCTCGCCCAGATACAATTTAAGAATTGTTTCTTCGTATTTCGGATCCTCCTTGCTGCTGTGGTAGCCATCTAGATAGTAGAAGTAGTCCTCGTCATTCTGTGCGGCAACCTTGCGGAACGCGGCGTGAAGAGCCGGGTTCAGCGCCGTCATGGCCCGTTCAGCATTTGGAGTGAAGCCGATTCCAGCCCCGACCTCGCGAAATGTATGCGCTCGCTCATATATGGTGAATTTGATATTGCGCTGAAGAAGGCCAGTAGCGAGCGCCAGGCCAATAATTCCACCGCCAATGATCGCCACCTCAAAATGACCTTCATCGGAGACCTCGACGACCTCGACTTTGGTGTTGGGTTGGACCATTTTGCGACTCTTCGTAATATCGCGAAACTGCTGCTTGGGGTTCGGCTCAGAGGTTTCAAGGATGGGAGGTGATGATGAGTGCATGAAGGGGCGCATAATAGGGTACTGTTTCTCCTGCGCGTACGTGCTGGGCACGCTTGTGCCACAGCGCCATACCACGATCAGATACTCCGATGCCCGTGTTCAGTGCATGTTCGGACCAATTATGAATTATTTAATCGAAGAATCGATCGAGTGCGGATGTCGCACGTTAAGATCGGTGACAGTCGGAGGCACAGGAGTGGAGTCCGGCGGAGTTCGGAGTTTCTTTATTCAACCTACGATCACAGCAGTAAGGCCGACGCATAGTTCATGGGCTTGGATCTAACACTAGAGAAAGAATGAATGGATTACCGGATTTAACTACAAGTGAGCGTGCCTTAACAATTGGCGACATCATACATCAATCATCAACTTCCTCAAACTTTTTTGTTCTAAGCAGCAAATCCACTATGTCTGGCTTACCCCGAGGCGTCGATGTCCTTGGACAGTTTCCTCAACTCAAAACATACAACCACGGCGTCGCTCTATTTCCATGGCGCGAAGATCTCACTCAAGAAATAGTCATCTCTGCACTTAGAGAAGCAACTGGCAAGATTCTGGCCGCAATTCCATGGCTCACCGGACAAGTTGTCCATACAGAGGGTGAAAACGGAACTTCAGGCACAATCCGTGTGGAGCCGTGGCCAACGGACATTCCTCCTCATCGCCTCCTCAAGATCAAAGATGCAACTGATCTTTTACCATCCTACGCTGAGATGTGTACTGCAAATGCACCATTCTACATGCTGGATGGAAAGGTACTCTGTCCTTACCCAGGATTTCCGGAGCGATACGACACTGCAGTAATTGGGCCTGCACCACCAGCTATGATCCAAGTCACATTTGTCAAGGGCGGCTTTCTTTTGACATACACGAATCAACACAATGTCGTAGATGGAACCGGCCTCTTCACAATAATCACACTCCTCTCTGCGGCTCTTCGCGACGAGCCTTTCCCAGAAGACATCATTGCCGCTGCGAATCAGGACCCAGGTGATGTGATTCGTCTCTTGGACCCATTTGAGCCTATTCTCGATCACAGCTGGCTGCTCAAGCCTGATCCAGCGCCCGAGTTTGTTCCCGCACGTCCCGGTGGAAGGTGGCAAAACTTTCTCTTCCGCAAGGAAGCGCTCGCAGACCTCAAAAAGCTTGCCGAAGATCCTGTTGGATACGATCCGGACGTTCCTTTCATCTCTCCAAATGACGCTATTTGTGCCCTATTCTGGAAGTCACTAGCCTCAGTGAGAATAAAAACTGGATTAGCTCCCTCGACAGTATCGAAATTCAATCGCGCTATCGATACACGACCGGTGCTTGGAGTTTCTCCGGGTTATCTAGGTCAGATGGTGTACATATCTCCATCGCGACTCACGTTCCAGGAGCTTGTTGACGCACCTCTTTCGACTGTTGCGACTCGACTCCGCAAGGATCTCGATGATGTGAACAACGCCTTCTCTGCTCGCTCTTATGCCACCTTTGTTGACTCTGTCGATGATAAGATGCAACTTATGTATTCCGGAGGAATGAATCTCCAGACAGATGTTGGTCATTCATCAATGATGAATGCGAAGGTCAATGGATTCGACTACGGTATTCTGGGGAAATCAGACTTCGGACGTCGTCCACACCTGGCATTGACAGTCAATACGTTTTATATCTATCCTCAGGAAGCAAATGGTGATTATCTCATCCTTGTCTGCCTGCCAGACATGGAGTTGAAGGGACTAATGGAAGACCCCGATTGGAGTCGCTGTACTTACGTGATTGAAGAGAAATACTAGAGAATGTCTTTCCGGTTGTATTGCGCTCTCAATCTGTAGCATATAAATTTATGATAACCCAACCCCCGTTTATTACTTCTCGATCAGAATTGGTATAAGAAAAGGATTATATTATGACTGTAGCAGGGTGAGTAGCCAGAGTGTGGTAGACACATATTCTTATATTGAAGTATTGTATCATTGTTGAGATTGAACTGTGGTGTATTGTAGATGGCCGAACGTGGATCCTAGGCATTTTGAATTCGACATTCTCTCCCATCCGGCACCATGCCAGTTGTCAAAGTTCTGTAATGGAAAACCAAACGAATCATATTCATTGATTGTAATGATCTGCAATGAGATTCTTTGAGATACCACCATCTAGTGGCCGTGGTAACAGACGATGAATATGCAATATACCTGATACTTAGAGAGAAAGGTTCGCTTCCAGCGCCTACTTAATGCAACCAAGATATAATACATGGGGGAAGGCAATGAGAACGCAAACAATCATGATACATTAGGTGAAGATAACCCATTCTACAGCAGTATCAATCTTGACAGTCTTGGTGGGACACTAGCCTCTAGGTTTGATGACCATTGGCATCAGGTGCTTCGTAGTTGTAAGCTTGGTGTATTAAGCAAGCTTTTACGGAGTCGGTATGGAAGGTATAGTTAGACTCATTCTCCTGAAATCGGGTTGTCTCCGATCGCTCTCTTTATAACAGTCATCATTGTGTGCTACCATTTCAACCACATCAGTTTGTTGCAATTCCAAGGCGGAAGGACGCAACGTGTTTCCATCCAAGATCGAGTTTACCTTTGAGCAAACTTTTGATCGTTAGGTTAGTCATGACTGTGTAGGCGCGCGCGGCGTATGATGTTCCACCCTAGATAGCTTTATCCACTGAACTTTTATACATTATAGTAATCATGATTCAAACTAGCTATGTTTAATACATCTAATCCTATTCAATATAACTTGATCCAATGAAGTGATTTCAATGAGAGCAGTTGTAATAGGAGAGAGGTTTACGGTTATAAAGGTAAGTAAAATTGGGAGAGTATCTTACTTGCTTAAGTAGCTTACTCGCTTGTAAAACAAGTTACTATGAACTAGAGCTATCTATTGTCGTGACGTCTGCCTTACACTAGAGCATGTTTGAAATTCTGTGCAGTGTGTATCTCAAAGGCCTCCTGAGATGAAAGGTACTGATTCTACACTACAAGTGGTATTCGGCGGAGGAATCTGCCCGCTAGTAAAATAATGGCTGATGTGGCCCAAAGTACAGCTGGAAACAGCAGACAGTGTGGCAACATGACCTGGGGCATCCTGTATCAACAACCCTGAGCCTGGAAACAAGCTGTGCATTTTCTGGGCACCAAGCAGTGGTGTAGATGGATCGTGCGTATTAGACACGAACAGGATCGGCGAGTTGGATTGCACATTGAACGACGTGTCTACAAACCAGAAGTCAGCGATCATCACTCCTAGAGAATGTACTTAAGTTAAACATTAAACGTTTTGAAAGCATACCATTGAATTGCTGGCTCACTGGAGGGTATATCTCCAAGTCCTTTCCTGCGAGACCAAGGGTGGCCCACGCATCAGCGCCCCATTCACTGTCCTTGGTCAACCTCGCCATGTACGCAGTCCATTTCTCATAAGTATTAAACTTTTCTCGATTGTTCCGCGCAGCGTCTATACCCCCAATCATCACAGTTGGCCCAACAACTGTGGGACTGACAGCGCTTAAGAACTTTGCCGCAGAGGAAGCGTCACGACGTTCAATGTCAGAGAGCATCTTGGAGAGGACAGACCACTTTGACAGAGGCGAGTACATGGTTGCCATGAAGATAAAGCTGATATCCTCATATCTGATCACTTGTGGATATTCCACAACCGTGCTGTCCGCGACAGGGATTGGGAATTGGCGAATTGATTCGAGAATATTTCTGGTGCGCTTCGATATGGCTTCAGTCGAGTTGTCCCAGATGGCGCATTTGATCTCTCCAGCAGCGTGACAGAATCTAAAAAAATCATTGACGACATCGTCCGTGCTTCGCAGGTTGCTCGCAAAGCTACCGCCGTAGTAGTCCTGAGCATCTACCACGCCGTCGAGGACAAATCGTCCTAATCGAGTAGGGAAGAGTGAAGCGAATGTGGTGCCCAATACGGTACCATAGCTTACGCCTAGCGAGGAATTTAGTTTGAATATACATATATTGCCATGAATGACTAGACAACTTACCATAGTAGTTCAACTTCGCCTCTTCAGGATCTTTACCACTTGCTTTAGCAACCATTTCAATGTAGTGAGCCATATCGTGCGCAACGGCAACAGTGTTCGCATACTTTGCGTCAGTATTCTCGTTGAACTTGGTGCACCATTTACCAAAAGCTGTCGAGGCCTCAAACTGGTAACGTAAGCTCCGCTCACTCTTACCATCAACCGTACGAATGAATTGAGTCGAGTATTCCTTCTCACGGGCGCGACTTCTTTCATCTTGACCAAAGCATCTTAGTGCTGGCCCGCTATTGTTGACACCTCTGGGGTCGAAGCCGACAATATTATATTGTGGCATAAGTTGGGCAAGCATAGGTCCAAGTCTTAGTACAGCACCCACGCCGGACTCCCCCGGCCCTCCAGGATTGATCAAAATGTCCTCTGCTGAAGAAGAGTTGCGCTGAGCAGCTTGCTTAATGTATGCGATGGTGGCATTACCAGCGGAAGAGTTCGTATAGTCAAGGGGGACGATGAGGCGCGAACAAGTGTAGCTCACGAAGCAAGGCTCCCATCGGAGCTCTGTAGACTCTGAGATCTGAGTCTCAAAGTTAGCGGAAGACTGACAGTAGCAGCACATGGTGCTCATACTTGATCCCATGAAAATTGACTAGCTTCTGTCTGGCGAGGTATCAGTAAGCTGCCGTTGACAAGGCCAACCGTGCCGGCGCAAAGAAAGGGCTCGATGCGCATTTCCGATAGAGCTTCTCCTTTCGTTCCTTTTCATCTGCTGTAGAGTATTAGAAGCGTTGACTTAGGCAGCATAAAAAGGGACAAAGACTTTGTAGACAAAATCGAAGTGTCGAGTGCTTCGAACAATATTGTCAGCAATGAACTACGGCAGTCAGTTATATAATAGGGTGGCATTCCTTCGCGTAGCCGACTCAATCAGATCAACCATCTTCTAGATTACAAGATCTAAGTTAAGCCTGTTAGGTTAGTTGGTCTTCTTGGCATATACGTAAGCCGTTCGTGAAGTGGAAATATGGTGAAGGAGGTCCTCCGAATCAGGAACAAACGAACCACCTAATCGTGAAGTGTCAATTTCAAGCGGGGCTTAGCCAAACTATTTTAATAATTGCAGGTTAGTTACTGCACGGTGCGCCATCTCGGAGTTCGTCGCAGTAGTTCTGTTAGGAGTCAAAGCTATGTACAGTCTTTTCTAGGCATGATTGAATGAACAAAAGGCGCAAGTCAAGTGCAGGATTTGATTGTCGAAGAGGCTGTGTTATGTGATATAACAGGGGTAAGGAGGGTTGCCTTAAATCCCCCTTTAACTGCGCCTCGAGTCGGTTGTTTCAGATTATCAGAAAGACATCACGCAGTAGAATGCCATGTTACTGTGAGCTACAAAGATACTAGCGGGCCATTAACAGTCATGTAGACCGAGCAAGATGAAATGGCGGCGTCTTAATCAGTTTTGATACTCAGTTCATATCGGCATCTCCGCTATCCACGACGCTCTAGTGTGTAGAAGGAATGTAATCGCAGAAGTTCAGAATAAAAACTAGCGCCGCTTAAATTAGTCTCCACATCAGGATCTTAAAAACCCATAACGTGTTTTACAAGCGAGCGGGCCATACAAGCGAGCGGGCCACCCCACCAACTTTGCGCACCTCTTTACGTGTACAGTTTTACCACAACTAAATAAAATTTATATATATTAAGATAGTGGATTAAACACTATCTAAAGCATCTTTCTTACATGTACGCGAATTATGGCCAGTCTCTCTACACCTACTACACCGCGCTAGAGCCTGGCGGTTGACACCTGATCGCTCTCCTCCTTGACGCTCTTCATAAGCAATCTGCTGATCAGCCTCGCGCTGAGCGAGTAGATCTTCTCCAGCTCCCTTTGTTAGCACTCCTTGCTTCTGTATCCGCTTCTTCTTACGCTGTCTACGTTTTGTTGCGGCTTCGTTCGCCTTCTCAAGGCTGGCTATCCGATCGCGCATAAGCTCAGCCGAGAGCATTATTACCTCAGCCCCCTTCTTAAGCTGATTAATTACCATAATAATCGAAGTTGGCGATGAGCCTTGATACCGCTAAACGCGATCACGTATTAACGTAGATTAAGCTTCAAGCTCGCGTGTATTACTAGGCGTACGAGCCTGCCAGAGAACCTCTAGAATAGCTAGTAGAGTAGGCGTACGGAGCTTTATATCAAGCCTTAATAGAACAGCATCTAGCTAGAGAGGAACAAAGCCTGCACCGCGGAAGGCAGAGCAGATATTAGCTAGCGTGAAGGATCGATCAAACGCTACCTTAAACGCTGGCAGAAACTTAAGCTTAGTAATGTGGTTAATATAATAGCGGATTAGGCTCTCCACCTCGCGGCTGTACGCGCGCTTTAACGGTAAGAAGCAGCCAACGTCAAGAGGCTGGAGTAGATAAGATGAGTGAGGCGGCATACAGAGCGTATATATGTTGTTCTCCTTACAGAGCTCTTAGAACTTAAGTGACTAGTAGCTCTCATGGCCGTCAAGAATAAGCAGCCGACGTGCTCCAACAACCTTGCCATCTGTATGCTTAATAAAGTACTTTAACCACTCAACTCCTAGCTCGTTAGTCGTCCAGCCGTTATCGCTAACTGCGATAGCCCAGTCGCGTAGGATCTCTGCCTCCTCGTACCAGGCAGATAGGTGATACTTACTAGTAAAGATTAGAAACGGTGGGATAGACCAGCCAGCTGCGTTGATCGCTGCGATCAGCGTCACCCACTCACGATTGCCTGGCTCAACTGCCTTTGGCCGGCACCTCCTCTCTAACGCTGTTACGACTAGCTGAGTCGTGATCTTGCCCATCATAAAGCCAGCTTCGTCGAAGTTATAGACGTCTTCATCACAGATACCGTACTTAGCCTTTGTCTACTCCACGAGCTCAAACCAGCCCTTAATTAGGACTAGATCTTCACATAGAGCCCTCTGCCTATCGTACGCTCAATTGAAACGCGTCGTAAGACTGTCTATACGCTTAACAAAGTTGCGCGGCCAGTAGACGCCAACCTAGCCAGCGCCGCGCGCAGCCAGTAGTCTGTCAGCCATGTCACGCACAGCTGCGTAGGTAGGCGAAAATCCACGTAGATCTAGATCAATTATATAATCAACTATCACCTCCTCTTCTAGCTTTGTAAGCTTCTTTAAGTTAGGCTGGCAATCGCGTCGGGTAAGTATGCCAGCGCGTCGACGCTGGAGTGTTGTTCGAGAGACTTCGTAGACTTTTGCTACATCTCTTTAAGACTTAATTTAATCTTAATTAATAGCTAAGATTACTAGCTGTATATCAGATTCATGAGAGACGTTGCGGGCTTGATTTAATAGGGCCATAGTTGATTAGAGTTAGAGAGGTGCGCAAAGTTGGTGGGGTGGCCCGCTCGCTTATATGGCCCGCTCGCTTGTAAAACACGTTAGTAAAGTATAAAGATCTAAGTTTTAGTGACATTGATAGCCTAAAATTTTCTTAACTAAAAAAGTTATAAGAAAACTTTTTATTAGTAAAATATAGTACTTTTGAAGCGCATTAAAATTAGCTAGTAGGTATTCTATTTGAGTAAGTATAGTTAAGTAGAGATAATACATACAAAATATGAGACGATTCTAAGATAGCGACTCTGTACACTACACTATAATCACTATTTAACCTCTATTTAACCCTAAGATAGAGAGTACCTACTTACTAGTGTACTCTTCTAATCGAGAACTCTTACAATTTTATCACTGGTAATCTTCATGCCTAAACTCAATGTCTAGAGAGCTAGTGAGTAATTAAAGATAGTATTTAAATCTAGAAGGTGCATACTGAATGTCCAGTAACAGGCGTGAACGTTATCTGCCAAGGGAAATCAACATCAGGCGTCGTGTATAGCGCTGCAGGATCCAGAAATAGCTGTTTGGAAGCGCTGCTGTTACCTGTAGCCAGATGCCAAGCCATCTTCCAGTACGGAACAGGGCCCAACCCTCCAGGCCCGTGTTGTAACGGTTCGAGTACACACTGAACTAACATCCGAAAGGGATCCGAACATGGGCACGCACTAGCCGAGGGCAGATCTGCTGATATAAAACCCCACCTTCTCCATACCGTAGCTCGATAGATTTTTGATATCCTTTCGTACAAGGCCTATAGGTGTCTATTCGAATTAAGGCTCGTTTGATGTCCCACGCACTCCCATATGCCTCTGAGTGACACTACCGCCGATACTGATCCGAGTAGTCTTGCCTGCGCCGTTACACGTGTTGAGGTACAACAACGCCTATTTGGATGAAGGACAACTGATCCTCACCTCTATAGGAGATTATGTTGGTGTATCCTTCCGAGATGAGCCAGTTGTAACTCTCATATAATGAGAGGAACGACATGCCGCTATTATCAGGGAGAACTTTACCTGGAAGACGGGTAGAAGTCACTATTGTATTTTGCTTGGTTTGAAGCTCGTAGAGTTTCCAATTGGAACTAGTGTAGTTGCTGAATGCGATAGTGAAGTCCGCATTTTGCTCAATGGCTTTTGCGAGTCCTTGCATGTGTGGGAACTTGAAGACCTTGTTGGTGGCTCGAGGCAGTGGAATGCCGGCTGTTCGCATGGCGCTTGCAGCCACCCAGATCAAAAGATCTTCGCCCACTTCTGCAATTGCGTCTAGTAAGGTTATACCTGGCTGATCGCCAAGGTCCAGAAGTACGTCCCACATCGCCAACAGCCTGTCTGTTCCGTCCATTTCAGCAATTACGCCTTCGTTAATTCCCAGCAAGTTCGGATCACCGGGTGGGTACTCTGGAATCCTGAGCAGAGTTGCTGGATGGCTCATAACGCTCTCAAGATCAAATCCCGGAGGGGGATGGAGTGGATTGATCAAGACCGGGGCTTGCAGGATCGCATCATGGATCGGGTCAAGTTCGCTCTTTTCAGATTGGGACATTACCTTTGAAAACATGATAACACTTTGGGGCAAGCCTTTGTACTCATCGGGAACATGTGTTTCTATCGAATTATCCGGTCTGAACAGCCATTGATTGAGGACTCCATTGATGTTCCTGATCTGCAAGTACCAATTCTGATTATCATTCTTGTGGATGGCCATAGTATGAGTCGCCATGGTGATGGGGAGAGATTTCAGCTGCTCGATGAAATCTAGACCTTTCAGATTGCGAATTCAGATAGGAATGGTGGGTAACCTCCCAGTGTTTGTTCAAAGTATGTTGACTGGCATCCCCCCTGGTGTACATGATGCTGCCTCATATAGATATATAGTTCCTTTAATTCTAAAGATGGGCTACTGCCTCTGAAAGACAACATTGTTATCAACAAGCCACAGAACCATTGCTATGGTCACGCAAACTCAATCCTTGTTCTGAGATCACTTTTTCCAGCTGCGTGATACGCATAGGCCAAGAGATCGATCCGAGTTGCAAGCTGTATCCGCTTCTATAGCCAGGTTTGGGTTGAAGCTAGCTGGTTTGTTGTAGCTGACAGGATCTTCAGCTGCATACTTATCACTATCTACCACATTCGATTGCCACTCCATCTGAACCCCCTAGAAAGGTTATTTGAATCATATTCGTGCATATACATGTGATTAATGCTTCAAGATAACAGCCAGCCACGGTACCACTAAGAACACCACTGCCAAGTGACTGACTGTCGTGCCTTGTTACCCCGCAGAAGATAAAACCCATCTTTGTAACGCTTCCAAGCCAGTCGGAAATGCTCCATGGGTTGAATTGGGCGACGCCTTCGGAATTGTGTGAATGATGGCTGGCAAGACGAGGCGGCACAGTAATATGATTGGGTGGGGAGCGTCGCCTCAGAGGATCGTCACTCCGTTGATGGATGAGACTCTTGTTACGAGAGGAATATGTTGCTTGCCTATGTTTTGAATGGTGCGCCAGGTCTGCTGGAGCTAACGTACGCTGGTTTTAGCGCTGAGGTGGGGGCTGGAATAGGCTGCCATCAAGAACCCGCACAGGCGTGTCACAGCAGCATTCAGCTACCCTGTTGACGTAAGTGCTGATGCTACGCCGCTTTCAAACTGCCCATCAACAACTGATGGATTCTGACTTCCCTATGCAGTAAAATGCAGTGCTCAAGTCGCAGCACAGGTTCCAAGGCACCTCCCGATGCCTACCTAGTCGGCTAGGTAAATTGATAACAACAAGGCGCACTTAGACAACGGGCTATCTACTATCGCATGTGATTTCATAAACTCTCTCGAGTGTTTGTATCAGAGATCATTGCTCAGCCTCGATACCCGATGTTCGCTAGCCTCCTCAGGCCCGCCATTCAAATAAGAACATTTTAGTGGGGTGTAAGAAGGAAGTATGGCCGAAGAATCAGCCAATCACTCCATCCCTACCAAGCCCAGCCTTTAATCATATGTATGAGGCCCCAACCAACTCTAAAGCGACTAGCTTTCGCAGATTTTACAAAAATCAATGCCTAAAGCAAAGAGTAAAAGTAAGAAGCCGGCAACCCGCGCAGCTCGGCCAAGTGCCCGCTCAGAGGCTGGCAATCGAGGTCGTCAGCAACGGTCGATCACAAACAGAAGCACCGTCCAGGAACCAACTGAGGATGGAGACCGCCCAGTGTTCTTCTGGAAGGAGACGGAGAGAGACGTCGGGTTCCTCTCTCCGTGGTACACGTGTGTATTCAAAGAAAGTGGCGTGCGATATACTTCGGTTGGACACTCTATACTAGCAGAGAAAGCCCGGCTATTTGGGGATAATGTAAAACTTTACTTCTGACTTTCTCCTAATCGCTGATCAACCCACAGGGTGCACTGAACCAGATATTGGCTGCGGATACTGCAAAGGAGCAAAAGTTATGGGGAGGCAATATAAAGGGAATTAATGACAAAATTTGGGAAGAACGTACTGTTTCTCTCAATGATCGTATCCCTGTTCTTCTACTCACTGACTCTCAGATGCTTTGGGTATTGCGACTCGCGCAAACATCGCTAAATTCTTCGTTTCAGGGCCCTTGAAGGAGCGGTTGGAGTCCTTCGGCACGAGAGAGTTTGTACTAGCATCTCCTCATGATCGATTGTTTGGAATCGGCTTTAATGCCGCGGACGCTATTCAACTTGGCAAGGAACAATGGGGACAGAATCTATTTGGTCAAGCATTACATATAACTCGGAGCCAGCTAGACTACACGTTGCGTAGCGCGACGGCGCGTCAATACGACGAGCTGGGCGTGAGATAGTAAACATTAGGTTGCAGCATGGCTTACAATATCTCACAAGGCAAGAACCTTATCTCCTTAACGATCCAATCTATTGCTGCGATTACCCACCATCATGAGACCTACCAGTCACATGTGACTTTGTTGAAGTAGTTCTCAGCCCAGGATATAGGAGGACAAATGAGCTCCTCTGGATTCACTGCTGCTTGACAGCTCAGCGAGTCCTTGTTCGGACATTTCAATGTTCCAGGGCCTCTACCATCGCTCTTATACACACATCCTTGAGCGTCTCCAGTTGTCAGTCCATTCACCATTTGATCAGGGGGGATTTGTCACTTCACCATCTTGTGCTAGTCAACATCTGTTTTTGCCATCGCCACATCGTAAATACTTTTCTTTCTCACATATATACCAACTTGTTATTGACCAATGAATGTCAAAGAACTGCCATTCCATGTCATTGGCGATCATATCAATATAGTTGACGTAGAAGACATAAAAGCATTGTGACTTATGCGGTTGGGGCGTTGGTGTTCGGGACGTTGGCTGCTAGGGATTATCTGCACCCTAATTAGAATCACTTGTGCCAGGATATCCAGAATAGCGAGTGTCGATGACTTCGTCCGGTCTAAGATCCCGTGGGTTCACTGGATCCAGCTTATCTGCTGGGCCAAAAGAACAAGGCGGCGCCCCATCCCCATCGTCATCATTATTATCATCATCATCATCTTTGTTAGGGTCTTGAGGGTCTCGGAAACCTCCCGGGTCTCTCGGACACGTGAGCAATGGAATGCATGGCCCGGGAGAGGGCCCACGACCAATGTATGGGAAGCTATAACCGCTTGGGCAAATCGGACCAAGAAGCCCAATATCAATAACTATTAGTAGGTACAGCCCACTATATTGACGATCATCATCACTGCCCGGCGCAGGTGGTTCGGTTGGGCAGGGACCTGGTGTTATCGTTGGTAATAGGATTTGGTGTTGGGCAGATATGTGGCACAGGACTAAAGGTAAATGCCGGACCTAGGGGAAATGATTGCTCCCAAAATTCTATGGTCTTCGTAGTAACTGGAGGGAGAGTTATAGTTATTATCTTAAACGAACGTGTTATTCGACCGTTAAGATCTCATACGACCTCAAGGTCGATGGTATACGGCGGTAAAGTAATAGTTGTTGGCGTAGGCAGAAACTTTCGAGTGATTATAAAGTTACAAGGCGGGCTTTATGTGATATGCGGCGTTAGAGAGTTCTAGATCGCAGTGTTAATATAGATATTTCCGTCGCCTCCATTATAGCCTCTACTACTATTACTTCCACCATCGCCTGGTTAGCCTAGTTGGCCAGATCCATCGCAACTATTTCCAGGCGAGCGATAACCACACTTAGACGTCTGTTCCGCCGGGCATTCTGATACACTAGGAGTAACATTTTGAAAACTTATAATATAATTTGATTTTGGACTTTCGAAATCTCCTAGTAGAGTTTAGTATTAAATAAAACGGCCTATCGGAATGTGTGTATACTATTAATTACAGTAACATAAAACTTATAGTTCTAGATTACTAAGAAAAGAAACGCAATACCGAAGCAAAGATGGCCAACTATAGATAGGTCGGCCTTAAAGAAGTCTAAGGCGTGATTAATATTCCGCATCTATGCTCGATAGTTAGTAGCGTTGGCAGAGCTATTAAAATCTAAGATTATCGTAGTTCTGTCTTTAGTATATATTTACCTTAAGATTTCGGGGCGCCTAGGTGCTCTAGCTCCAGGCTGAACTTAAGGTGGCACGGATAGGAAGCTAGGGCCTAGTTCTGTCTAGGTGCTTATAGCTAATACGTGTCTGTGTCCTAGCTTAAGGCCGTTAACTATAAGGTAGTTACCCTTAATGCCGCGCGATAGAAGCTAAGCACAAAGCTCGTCCACATCGTATGTAAGAACTTTGTACAGCTTCGCGTTGAAGCTATTATCTGTAACGGCGCAGGCAAGACTACTCGGATTAGTATCGGCGGTAGTGTCACTCAGAGGCATATGGGAGTGCGTGGGACATCAAACGAGCCTTGATTCGAATAGACACCTATAGGCCTTGTACGAAAGGATATCAAAAATCTATCGAGCTACGGTATAGAGAAGGTGGGGTTTTATATCAGCAGATCTGCTCTTAGCTAGTGCGCGCCCATATTTGGATCTCTTTCGAATATTAGTTTAATGTGTACTTAAACCGTTATACTACCCCCCCCTCTATTAATAGCTTGTCCTGTAGCTGTTGAAAAATTTTTAATATTTATTTATTTATCTATTTGCTTAATATCGTTATCCTTCTATATAGAGTCTTAGCTAGGCCCCAAATAGTCTCCAGGCTAAGAAGAATCTAATTAGCACATAATATTACATCCGTTTGCTTACTATGTATATTAATAGCGCGCGTCTATACTTACTCTTACTAAAATACTAACAATTTTCTACCCCTTCTATATACATACACATATATATATACATATTATACTATTGCGTTACTCTGCTAGCGCGCTTCCAGAGGCGTACTACCTTATCTATCTTTATTTAGTTCGTGCCTTCGCGCGCGGAGTTTATAATATAGACTACTATTTTAGCGCTAAGAGGTCTAAGAAGTATAATTATTATACTTAGTAGAAGGAGAAGTACTCTCTTATAAGTTTTTCTAAATTCTTTTAATTATAAGACGTTACTAACTCTAATAGGTTCTAAAGTATATTAAGGCCGAGTTCGCCATTTTTCTCGCGGCGATAGATCTAGTAGCTACTACCTACTATAGTAATTGTTAGAGATATAAGCTAATCAGCTAATCTCTAACATAATCCGGGTGCTCGGCACTATACTCGGATTCTTCAGTCAACTAATCCCTATACAATTTATCTATCTATTACGTCTATAGCTACATAATCTACTACTAGATAGATTCTTCTAGAATCTAGTACAGTAAATATATATAGTAGTAGAATAGCTAGTAGATAGAAACTAGAGCAGATTATAAGCATAAAGCAGACTACTAGTGCAGACAACTAGATAAGATCGGATTAATCTAATTCTTCAATCTCTCTCCCCTAGCATTTCTCTCTTTTTATCCTAGAACCTATCGATTCGCTACCTCTGAGTCTATCGCTAGATAAGTAGACGACTCTACCTCTGAGCTAGCTATAGAATAAGTAGCACCCTCCTTATTCTAACAGTAATAAGCTAGATAACGACTAGTACGCTACTAAGCAGCGTTTTAAGTCCGCCACTCTAGATCTAGCTTACTAGGTTTAGGTAATAAAGAGCTAGGAGAAGGAGTTGTCTATAGTTAGACTTCTCTCCGCGACGCACTAGGTGCTAGTAGAGATTTAGAATAGTCTACGCTAGCTAGAGGGCTATATAGAGATAGTAGAGGCGGTAGTAAAGGTAGGTGGAACTTTTATCCTAGACTCTATAGATATTAGTTCTAGAGTTAAGTTAGAGGAGAAGTTAAAGAAGGAGAGGAAGATAGAGAAAACTCTATTAGTAGACCTTTATAGTCTAGAGAATAGGGTAGAAGAGTCTTCTAACTCTCTTATTAATTAGGTATTTAGTATAGTAGGTAGTTAGTTAGGTTAGGTTTATTTCTAAGGCATTCTAGTTTCTATTCTATACCTATTTTAAAGGATTATTTTTCTTTTCTCTATATTTAATTATCTTATAGTAAAGTTATATCCTCTATACCTTACTTCTATACTTAGATCTACTTTAATAAGAAATAGAGAGATCCTAGTTTTATTAGATTTTAGTTATAGAAGGTCTTAAGTTTATAGAGGGCCTCTATAAAGTTTAAGGTAGGGTACTATATAGAGTCTAGATTATATCTAATCTACTTTATATAGTACTTAAGCTTTAAGCGATATAATTTACTAACTAAGATTTCTTTAACTTTCTACTCTTCTACTTCTTAGATAGGAGTTCCTAAAGGCTTAGAGACTTCTTATTCTAGTAAGAGATCTTAAGGGTCTTTATATAGTAATTCTAGAGTAAAGATATTATAGATCTAAGACCCTTCTAGTAGCTATAGGTAATACGAATTTTCTACCTTTTCTAGTATCTTAAAAGGTCCCTCTTATTTATTAGATAACTTACGGCTAGGGCGATCTATAGTAAGATTTTTTATATCTAAGAAGACTTAGTCTCTAACGTCTTAGTTAATAGAATATTAGTATTAGTTTACTACAGTTCACATCTAATTCTAGGCTTTCTCTATTTATTTCTTAGTAACCTTCTAGGTAGCATATATTCTAGTAGCTAGGGCGAGAGTATCCTAATAGTTAAGCTTATTAGTAGAGAATAGCTTACTCTCTTTCTAGTTCTAGTTCTAGCTCTACTTTAGTTTAGTTCCGTATAGAATCTAGTACAGGGATATACTAATAGAAGAGTAAGATAGAGAAATTTAGGCTCTATTAATTAGAGAGAGTAACTTACTCTAGTTATTCTAGTAGTAAGCTACGAACAGACGTAGCCTCTAATTAATATACTTATTTATAATCTTAGTCTAGCTATTAGTTTCTTTATAGTAGGTAGTAGATAGTTTTACTCTAACGCCTAGGATCTAATAGAATTCAGACTAGAAACTAGAGATAAACTAAGGACCTCTATCTAAGATAATAGTTTTAGGCGTATAGCTAAAATAGTATATTTACTCAATAAATAACTTAGCTATACCTCTCGCGTTAATAGTTTTATTATAAGGAATAGAAATAGCCTATTTAGATAGGCGGTTAATAACGACTATAATTATATTATAACAGGACCTATCTTAGGGGAATTTTTTAAAGTCGATATATAGGTACTGCATCAGCTAGTTAAGAACGAGAAAAGAGTGAATTATACCTAGGACTTAGGTCTATTTTAGATATACCTTATAATAAGCTATATAATTTTATATATATCTTTTATAAGAAGACTCTATTCCTTTCTAGTAGTACTTTTAGGCTAGCAGCTAATAAGTTTTCTTAGTACTAGGGTGTGCGGAGGATACCTAATTATAGGCTTCTTAGATAAGACGGGTATAAAGAATAGAAGTAGAGAGAATATATAGTTAATTCTTATATAGAAGAAG